ATCTAAATAAAAACGTGTTTTCAATCCAATCAAGGGTATTATTGGTACATCACGCGATTGTGACATAATCGCACGTTTTTATTGATTAATCAGCATAGTAGGTAGGTTTTCATTGTGATTGGCTGATTTTGGAAATCTCGATAATCAAGGCGAAGAGATCTAATATTAGACTAAATTGTAATATATGCGATTAAATTGGCCTTAATAAAAGTATTACTACAAATCTCAATTAAAAATCTAAGACCATAAGCAAGATCTCACAAATCAGTGTCTTATTAAATACACATACGATATTAAAAAAAAAAAATAAAAAATAAAAAAAAAAACACTAACTAATAAAAACATATAAATCAATATTAATCGGAATATTAATTTTATTAGTGTAAATTATTTTAACTTCTAATAATCTTAAACGTGATATTGTGTTCTAATCTCATGATAATTCACAAACTTATGTTTCATTATATCGTGTTGCTAAGTTACCACTGGCAGTATCTGCCTTGAGATTATAAATAAATCATAATAAAATAAATTGGCTAAAATAACTCTCAAAAACAAATTATTAAACTCAATAGATTCGTATGTTATATTTATGACTTATTGGCTAAATTGAAACGTTCAGGCATACCTCTTTTCTAACTTCCGAATTACCTCGCCAATTGCAAAATCACTTTAGTATGTTGTAGAGCCGAAGGTGTATTTTCTAATTTTTTTATATAATAACACCTGCGAATCCATATTCGTGGTATTCGTGGCTGCGAATTCACTTTTTTGACAGCAAATTGTTACTTTTAATAAGATTTTTTTATAATGAGATGATCTGCAAAAATCAGCATCACTAATTACCATTTTTTAATTCTATAAAAGCAAAATGTTCAATAAATGGTGTCTTTACATCGTAACAATGTTAGAATTTTATCTTACTAATTAAAAATACAGTATTTATTTATGCTTATTGGGATGTCTCTTGTCATACGATTTACAAACATGGCCGCATAAACATAACGGGCTTTATTATGATTGGCTGATTTTTGAAGTCATCTTATCATAATGAAGTCTTATTAAAGCAACGATTTCACAAGATTGAATTCCGAGCCACGAATATGAATTCCGAGAGGGTAAGGCAAAAATTAGAAAGTTCACGTCTTATTTCATGAACTGTCAAAGTAATTTGGTAACCTGCGAAGTAATTCAGAAGTTAGATGAGAGGTATGTTTGAATGTTTAACTTATGGGCTCAATAAATCAATTAAACTTGGTAATTTAAGCTTTCTTTTACGTATTTTGTGAAAACTTATTCTTCGTAATCCCAACTAATATAGAATCTTGACTATAATATAGGTTAAGAATATTAAGTTGAGAGTAATAAGGTTTATAGATTTCGTGAGAAGTGTTAAAGCGAAGTAGTGGTATTGTAACTGTTATACCAATTATAATAAAATTAAAGATCAGTTTGATGTTGAAGCGATCAAAAAAGTTGGGTTTGATTATTTTTTATTAACCATTAGTGTTCTAGAATACAGGAATAGGTTCAACATTAATTTCTTGTATTTTTTGTTTTTGATTTGTTTTTTGGTTCTTATTTTTTCTTTTTTGATTTGTAGTATATTAAGACTATTTATTCAATAAAATTTAGGTTTATCTGCGACAAGATTATAGTTTTAAATTTAAAGTTACCGAGATTTCATGATAAAAACTTTTTCGGGTATTAATTTCGCTATAAATATAGTTATTTTTATAAATATCAGTTTTTTTATTCGTGATGATTTAGTTAAAGTTTTGAACTTCGATTATTTTCGATTAACCATATTGAACATAACTAACGCAATAACTTTCATCCTCATTTTAAGCTCAGGTTTACATTTATTATACTTTGCATCACTTAAAATTTATTATCGCTATATTATTTAAATGAAAAAAAAAGCCAAAAATCTAGAAAACCAAATCAGAAATGAAATATTTAAAAAAATATTTCCCGTATTTCATTGGATCTAATTCCTACTGTTACACCTGAAACTACCTCTTATAAGTTCGGTATAACGGTTTACTATAGCGACGGATTATTAGGGAATTAATAACAAATGCCGATTTATGCTAAGCAAATATAGGATTAATTGCAGTTACGCTTTAAGAGGATTATGGTGATAAGAGGCAAACGGCTAAATGTATATGAGGATACAAGTAGTCGTATTAACAAATTTATTATTATACTCAAGTTATTCGTGTATGGAGACACTATAACAGGGTTATGGTTTATTCGAGTTATCCGTGTATGAAGACACTATAACCCGTATGGGCCAATTTTTACAATATACTTTTCAAACCGATCTAATTCTGGTCAAATTTGCTGATTATTTGGCCTTGGCTTATCAGTTTTAAACTGATAAACCAAGGGCCAAATGATCAGCAAATTTGACCCGGTTTGAAAAGTATATTGTAAAAATTGGCCCATACGCGATCTACTATTTTATTCGAGTTATCTGTGTATGAAGACACAATTACTCGTTAGGGAATGGTTATTTGTATGATTTATTCAATAAAGTATTCGAGTTGTTCGTGTATGAATACACGATTACTCTTTATTTATTTTGAGTTGTTGGAACTTCGAGTTCTGTTCCTTACATGAGAAATAACTAAGACCATTTATACCTTTTGAACTTTCGATTTCTGCTACTATTTTTATAAATTTCAATTTCATTAGAACCACTAGATCTATAGAAAGTGTTGGCGCTATTTGCGCTACTAGCGCTATTGCAGCGTTCTTTGCATTGGTGTTACATTATGTTATTTTGTCACATGATGTTAATTACAGGGGTTAACACTACTCATTATGTTACTCATTATGTTAAATTAATATAGCGCACTTTTTCGAACGCGATAAAGCATAAAATTGATTTCTACTGTGCCGATTATAGGGTGACTTTTATATGATTGGTTGTTTAAGTCAAATTAATTGTACATTATTTATACAATTTAAGTATTTTTTAAAAAAAAAATAAACTACAAAGGATAAATGAAAAAAAAGTGTGTAGGACACTATTGAAAGTAATCAAAGTCCCTTTTTGTTTTAAAGAAGCTAGCATGGTAATAATCTAGTTCGATCCGTTTTAAAAAGTTGTTATAATAATAACTTTGATCATTTTCAATGTACTTTTTTTTCATTTATTCGTAGTTTTATTTTTTTTAAAAAAATACTTTAAACTGTATAAATAATGTAAAATTAATTTGACTTAAACAACCAATCATCCTATGACCGTGCCAATAGGAATAACAGCACATGTAAATGTCGTGTAGGATAAGTGGCTGAGTTCGAAACGGCAAATAATTAAAGTAAAATATCCGAATTATTTCGTTGCAGCTCTTTCGTTATGTTCTTTGACGATTAGTGATTATCTTTTCATCATACCGGCAAAAATCAAAAGAAAAAAAAAGTACTAAAAAAGCTCAAAAAGCAAAAGCAAGCATAGATCGGGGCAGACATACAAGCACAAAAAGGACGCTTTTTACTAGAATTTAATAAGTAATTCAAATGGTTCTAAATTTTTATTTATTTATTTTTTTTTTTTCAACGAACGTCTAACATAGAATCGTATTCGTATTGAATTGTATCTATGTACTATAAAAATGGCAGATGAAAATAATGATTAAGAGGAAATTTTGGTTGACGATCTTATGCACGAATGCAATACAAAATACGAGACATAGTAATAAAAAGATACACTGTATAAATGTAAATAGTAAAGAAGATTACATTACATAAACAAATTAGGAAAAGAAGACACGCCGTTAATATCAACCCCGTTTATATGTTAATATCAAACCTCATATTAAGAAAAAACAGGCTAAACCCTCGCACATATTGTTGAAGAAAAATTTCGCATGGGTCTGTCGCAGCAGAAAATCGGTGGCCTTAATCTGACCCTAAAATTAAATCGATATTGTGTAACAAAAACAAACCTCTAAAACAGCAAAATCCTAAATAGTAATAGAGCCAGATTTTACTATGCTAACTTCTAATTAAAAAATGATCGCATTGAAATTTACATACATCACTTACGCTTATATCGGATTTATGTATAATACTTGAGATACTCCAACCTAAATATTTGGATCGGAAAGGTCCAATTTTTGCTTGGCACAAAGGAATTTTCCACGTGATATTGTGTAGATCAACCAATCAAAATCAAGAGTTTTGTTTATAAATATTGCAGATAAACAAATTTTTTTTACACATTGCAGATAAACACGCTTTTCCGTAATAAAAACATGCAATTAAACGAAGAAATGATGAATTAGATGAGGATATTTTCTAATTAAGAATCAACATCTTCAGCCTTACAAAAGTTCTCTTAGTTTTATTTGGCTTTTTTGCTGAGAATTTTTTTATAGGGCAACTTTTGTGTTTTTGCTGGATTCAACTGAAAGTTATTTTGTAAGGTCAGCGCATCTATACACACGAAGTAGCACTTTGTGATATCATAGAAGATTATCGCTAGAATACTGTGTTCTATATACACGAAGTACTTTGTGATATTATACCTACGAGGATGATTATTGCTGGAGTTACTGCTTGAGTTACTCTATGCACACGAAGTAGTACTTTGTAATATCATATTACAGGATGGTTATCACTGAATTATTCTATATACATGAAGTAGTACTTTGTGATATCATATCTACGAGGATAATTATCTTTGGAATAGCCACCTGTGTTATTCTATATACACAAAATATTTTGTGATATCACCTATGATTATCGCTGGATACTGTCTAAGCAACTTAACGAAAGTTGTTTGTTCTATGCACACAAAAGTGAAAATAAAGCTTTTTTATTTAAGGTTACTAATTCTAAAGAAGGAATTGGTTGTTCTTATAAAAAAGCTTGTTGCATTTTTAATCAAGATATTATTGCTTAATGAATGTAACACATTATTATTATTTTTTTTTTTGTTATTATAAAACAAAAAAAATATTCAAACAAGAAGTGATAGAAATGATGAAATGAACGAAGAAAAAAATGATGAAATGAACGAAGAAAGGAATGATGAAATGAACGACGAAGAAAGGACCAAAGGGTATTTTACAAATTTTATTTGTGTAAAATCAGCCCTTACGTTTTTACTTATTTAATCTTTGCACCATTACTAATTTAATTCACAGATCAGACATACTAGAAAAAAGGATAAATTCCAATTTATTTAAACTTTTGATTGAAAGTGAAGTGGAGAAATGTACAGAAATTAAACAAGTAAAATATGAAATGAAGGCAAAGAAGAAAAACTCAATCAAAAAATTAAATAAAAAAAAATGATAAAGAAAATTTAGCAAAAAAGGAAGCAGAAAAACAACAACTAATCCAAGAACTCAAAAAAGTTCAAAAGCAACTTAGACTCTCAATGAGATTTTTATCATTTCAGTTTTAAATATATCTGCAATCAGGTATGAATCTTTGATAAAGTATCATTTATAATTGATATATTACTAAAGATGGGCACGCACGGGATTTTTTTAGATCCCACGCGAGACTTTTAATATGATCTCAAAATAAATTATCTGGCCGGTATTACCATATTATCTGGCTGCATTAACATAATATCTGGCCTGCATTAACATAATTAGTAATTGAGCCACCCAAAAAAGTTTCAAAAATCATGTGATATTGTCAATTCATTATGATTATTAATTGATTTAGTAAGTGATTTATTTCTTCGATTCTTCAAAATGAAAAGTGATCATTGCAATTTCGACAAACTATGATTATTTTAAAGATATAAAAATCAATAAATACGATATACTAAAAATATACATCAATTGCTGTAACCCAATTTCCACTAATAATAAACGAAAAAAAAGATGAAAATCGAAATAAAATTATAAAAACTAATCAAGAAAATATAATTTGCACTAGAAAACCTTGTAGACTTTATTTTTAATGCTCTTTCAGAAGACTATAACTCTGATTATTTATTTGATCAAAAAATTTTTATAATTCTGAATCAAGAAAAATTATTGAAGATAAGATCTGCCATCCAAAAAAGTTTCAAACATCATGTGACAAATATGTAGAACACAAAAATTTATGTAACTTGAACAAAAAAATACAATCAAAAAAATTTAGACTAACAAAATGATAATGATAAGCAATTTTGTTTATTTTGAATAAACTCAATAAACGTAATATTTATTACAGCTAGAAAGTATCATGATTACGGGTTTTTTAAGCATTTGAAATATTTTATTGTCTTTTAAAATAATTATAATCCTCCTCCAGTTTATGCAATAGCTCAAAGTTTTTATTAATACTATCGAGCTATTTGTTACTATTTTATTCATTATATTTTCTTCAATAATTTTTCTGGATAAAAACCTTTGATCAAATAAATAATCAGAGTCATAGTCTTCCAGAAGAGCATTAAAAATTAAGTTCACAAGTTTTCTGATGCAATTACATGATTAGTTGTTATAATTTTATTTTCATTTTCATTCTTTTTTTTTTGTTTATTATTAGTAGAAATTTGATTATGCCAATTAGAGTTGTCAGATAGTAAATTACCATCGGTAAATTACCAGATAATTTACTGAAAGTGTGATAAATTTACCTTATATTCATAGATAGGCTGATTGGTTAATTTTTCCATAATGATTGACTAAAATTTGGACGATTAAATACAACTAGAAAATGACAAAAAAATCCATAAAGAAATTTACCAACTAATAAATACACGCAAAAGAGTTATTCAAATATATTTAGAGAATAGATAGGTATACATAAAGTGACAAATTTAATATTTATTATTAAAAAACCCAAACTCATTAAAGAATCTACAGTATATAATATAATCTAAAAAAATTTTACGCTTAATAATCTCAAACTATACTAAAAGAGCAGACCAAATTTAAACATTAAGCCCGCGTCTTTTACTGCTAAAGAACTTGTATCTATTCAAATTAAACTGCTTATTTTAAATATAACTTAATAAAGTTCTTAAACGAAACTTTCTTTTTTGAAAAAGTACTTTAAATTACCTTCAAGTTTTTTTTCCTTGCTAAAAAGTCGCTACTAAGCTAATACTACCTAAATTAGAGATTATTAGAGATTATTTTTTAAGGCAGTCTTTTAATACTCGAGAGAAAATGATTTATTCAAAATTTTTCATTTTTTTAGTATTGTTAAAGGGAAACTCAAACCTCAAGGTCCAAGAAACAATGCATGAATACCCTACGAATGTACGCTGAAGAACCATGGTAAAACAATGCCTTAAGCTTTACCGAATTAAATATATACGCAAAGCTTACTGGAACAATAAGATCGTAGATCTTGTACCAAGCCTTATTATGAAGATCTACCACTAAACCAAATAAGGGAAAGGTGAATTGCGATTAACCTGTTTGTTTAATGATGATTAAAATTGGATGATAGTTCAATTTTACCTTTGGATAAATATGAGACAGTGGTACGATTGTGGTAATGAGGTGGAATTTGAGATGGAAAAATGGCATCATCTTTTCTTCACTTTTGCTTTCTTTTCTTGAAATGTAAAAATAACGAATGCTGTGTAAATGTAAGGAGCAAAAGATTAGTCAAAAAAGGTGAGAACTGTTTGAGGTCAATGAGAAAAGGCTGTGTTAAAGCCACATGAAATGCCGAAACCTTACTTTTCATTTTTATGAAATTTCTTATAAATAGAGTTGAATTTTTTTCAAGCAGGGTATATGTCTCTTTACAAAAAA